ATGACCCAGTGTTTTGAGTTTTAGTTCATTTTGATGTTTTAGTTTATGTAAGCCCTTCAGGTTCCTAAGTTCATTTGTTATCATGCTTAAGTGTTTCTAGTTCTTATTATTTCCCCCTCGTGTTTCCAACTATGGTAAATCTCCCCTGCTTTTCATGTGTTTCATGTCTGTGTCTTACATTGTGAAGTTTGGGTTGTCATGTCTACGTCTCCTTATGTTTCCTGTTTTATTGTGAAGAGGTCTGGTGTTTCTGTGTTCATCGTGTTCAGTTTTACTCTTCCCCTGTGGCGTTGTTATGTTCATGTTGATCTACTGTGCCTTTCTGTTCCATGTTTCAGATCCCTATGTTCTGTCTCCCCCAGTCTGTTAAGTCCACGTCTTGAGTTCCGTCAGTGTGTTTCCTGTTTTACTTTCACAGTCTGTTCTATGTTAATGTTTCTAGTTTTGCTTCCCTTGCCTCGTCCTGCTTAATTACTCTCAGCTGTGCTCTCCTCCTGTGGCTCATTCCCCCTCGTTATCCCTCAGTGTATTTAAGCCCCATGTTTCTCTTTGTCAGTGTTGCGTCCTCCATCATAGCTGTGTGATTTTTCCCTGTGGCGCCTTGTGCTTTAGTTTTTCCCAGTTTAGTTTATTTTGTATTGTTTTTCGTGTCCCACTCCACGCCAGCAATAAAGCTGTGTTTTTTGAGTTTAACTTTTGACTCTGTGAGTTTGCGTTTGGGTCCTTCTCCTGCCTGCCACACAGCCGAACTGTGACAGAAGGACGCAACCAGACAATGGACCCAGCAACTCATAATCCCTCCGCTGAGCTCCGGGAGGACATGATCTATGCGGTGGAGTTTCTATGCCAGGAATGGTTTGCGCTGCCCTTTGAAGAGTACCAGGAGGAGTTAGCCATCCGTCTGCAGAGGATGGTTTCTGGACTTCCCTGGCTATTTGGCACGCTAAACCCTCTCATCCAGGACTTCCTCGTTTCCACCGTACACATCCGCCCGGATCGGCCTCTCCACTATGAAGACTCCGAGGAGGTTCAGCCCGGTCCGCTGGAGGATTCGCGGGCTGGCACGTCTCCTCCCCCTCCTTCCCGGAGAAAACGGCGTTCACGCCGTCAGCGATCCCGAGCAGCGGAGCAGTTTTCTTCCACTGCTGGAGGGCCCAAGGAGCCCGTCCAGCTTCATGTCACGTCAGCTGGGGGGCCCGAGGAGCCCGTCCGGCCTCACGCCACGTCAGCTGGGGGGCCCGAGGAGCCCGTCCGGCCTCACGCCACGTCAGCTGGGGGGCCCGAGGAGCCCGTCCGGCCTCACGCCACGTCAGCTGGGGGGCCCGAGGAGCCCGTCCGGCCTCACGCCACGTCAGCTGGGGGGCCCGAGGAGCCCGTCCGGTTTCACGCCACGTTAGCTGGCGGGCCCAAGGAGCCCGTCCGGCCACCTTCTGCTTCACCACCTGTGGCTGTAGTGCCGCCACCTGCAGGACCACCACCTGCTGCGCTACCGCCTGCTGCTTCTGCGCCTCAGCCTGAGGACGACACCTCGCCTGGTTCTGCTACACCTCAGTCTGAGAACTTATACGAACTCATCTCACCCACTATAGACTGTGTGTTGCTGCAACTTACACAGCCTCCTGCCACGTCAGCTGGGGGGCCCGAGGAGCCCGTCCAGCCACCACCTGCGGCTGCCTCACTGTCACCTGGTTCTGCTTCAGCCTCACCAGGTCCGGCCTCATCAGAGTCTTCAGCCTCGCCAGGTCCGGCCTCTGCCTCTGCTGCGTCTGGCCCTGCCTCGCCTCAGCCAGAGGTCTCCGCACCTGCTGGCCCTGCCTCGCCTGGTCCTGTTGCGCCAGCTGGAGGTTCAGCCAAGCCCGTCCAGCATCCTTCCACGCTGTCGACTGCAGCGCCATTATCTGGTCCTGCCTCGCCTGGTCCTGCCACGGCCCAGCCAGAGGTCGACACCACACCTCTGCTCGTCTCGCCTGCCAAGCCATGTCCAGCATGGCTGTTTCCGGGGCCTGTCAAAACAGCCTGTTCATGGAAACCCACCAAACCACCCGAGGGGTCACGTCCACATCCACACTACCGTCGACCACCAGCCAAGCCACCCGACGGGTCTTGTCCACGTCGCCGCCGGCCGCCAGCCATGCCGCCCGGGTGTGGCCAGCCATACCTGCTTCGCCACTGCCTCCTTCCTCGTGGCCGGCCCCCTGAACCTTTGAACTATGAACTGTTATGCTATCGACCTCCAGGACGGCCCCCTGAACTACTTAACTGTGGACTTTTGTGCTGTCACCCTCCAGGTCGGCCCCCGGAAAGTTTTGAGAACTGTCTCCGGAGCTTTAGTGCCTTTCATGGGCTTTTTGCGCCCTTTTTGTGGGACTTTTGCTCTGGTTTTGGTCGGTTTTACTTTCAGTATGTTCTATGTTAATGTTTCTAGTTTTGCTTCCCTTGCCTCGTCCTGCTTAATTACTCTCAGCTGTGCTCTCCTCCTGTGGCTCATTCCCCCTCGTTATCCCTCAGTGTATTTAAGCCCCATGTTTCTCTTTGTCAGTGTTGCGTCCTCCCTCATAGCTGTGTGATTTTTTTTTTTTTTTTTTTTTTTTTTTTTTTTTTTCCCCCTGTGGCTCCTTGTGCTTTAGTTTTTCCCAGTTTAGTTTATTTTGTATTGTTTTTCGTGTCCCACTCCACGCCAGCAATAAAGCTGTGTTTTTTTTGAGTTTAACTTTTGACTCTGAGTTTGCGTTTGGGTCCTTCTCCTGCCTGCCACACAGCCGAACTGTGACACTGAGATCTGGTGACTGTGAATGCCATTTGAGTACATTATCATGTTCAAGAAACCAGTTTGAGAGGATTTGAATATTGTGACAAGGAGCTTTGTCCTCCTGGAACCAGTCATCAGAAGATGAGTACACTGTGGTCATAAATGGAGGGACATGGTCGGCAACAATATTGCGGCATTTAAATGATGCTCAGTTGATATTAAGGAGCCCATAGTGTACCAAGAAAATATTCCCCACACCATTACACCAACAACCCAAGACTGAACTGCTGATACAAGGAAGGATAGAATCATGCTTTCCTGTTATTGTTCTATTACAGCAGAAATCAAGACCAGGTAATATTTTTCCAGTCTTCTATTGTCCAGTTTTGGTGAGACTGACGGAAGTGGCATCCAATCTGGTCTTCTGCTGCTGTAGCCCATCTGCTTCAAGATTCAGCGTGATGTATATTCAGAGATACTCGTCTGCATACCTTGGCTGTAACAATTAGTTATTTGAATTACTGTTGGCTTCCTATCAGCTCAAAGTAGCCAGGCCATTGACCTCTGACATAAACAAAGGCATTTTCACTCAGAGAACTGCAGCTTACTGGATCTTTTCTCATTTTTGGCCCATTTTCGGAAAGCCCTAGAGATAGTTGTGTGGGAAAACCCCAGTAGTTTGGTAGTTTTGGAAATATTCAGACTAGCACATCTGGCATCAACAACCATGCCACGTTCAAAGTCACTTAAATCACTGTGAAACCCATTCTGATGTTTGATATTAACTTAAGCAGGCAGCCTTTTCATCATATCTGTATGTCTAAATGCAGTAAATTGCTGCTATGTGACTTAACTTTTGGTGTTAAGCAGTTGAACATAAGTACCTAACAAAGTGGCTGGTGAGTGTACTATATAGTATGCGAAGTACTTCACTTTACTTGATAGATATCAGTGAAGTTAAAGTTGAAAAATAAAATTAACTTTCACGTACTATATGCACATACAGTACAATTAATATATTAGTCACTAGTTTATGTTGGCACAGAACACTGTGCTTGCAGCAGTTAAATAACTGGCAAGCCCACTGACATTCCTTTGCTGCTACAGCAGTGGAAAGATAAGGGTCTGTGTGTGGGTGAGAGAGAAAGAGAGCCAGAGTTTATTCTCAATGCGGTTGCACAAACCTGAAGTTTGGTCTCTAGCTTGTGTATGTAGGCCTATTGTGGTTATATGGGTTGGCATTCTTAGACACTGCAGATGGAATGCTCCCCACTGTCTGTTCATGTGTGTCTGTGTTTTTTTTAAGCAAATGCATTTGTATATTAATGAAATGCATATTAAGAACGATGACTTCACTTCATCTAAATATCAAATTATGTTAAACAAATTGTGTTTAGAAAGCACTGTTCAGCATCAGCTTTTCAAAACTGCCAAACCAATATTAGCTGGTTAGCCCAATCCCCAAAATCAAAACAGGGTACTGAATACCCTACAATCCCACGTTAACTGCCGGGAGATCAGGATTTACCCATGATAATAACACACCTTGTAAAAAGTAGTGTAAACAAGTTGCTGTAAATTCTATGTTAACTTACTGACATCCAGCTACAAGTCTGTTACTGTAAATTTAATTCACATGAGATCCCGTAATTTAATTACTATAAATTAAATAACTGAAAGCTATCATACATTTAATTTACAGAATATTTACTGTAGATAATACAGCAAATTACTACCAGCGACTTTACTGTAAATGCAGTTGAAGCATGATGTAAAAGTGTTTACAGTAACGTTAGCAACTTTACTGTAACTTAAAGTAACTTTAACTTTAAGTAACTTTAAGTTACTATAAACAGTTGTTTCCAGTAAATTAATGGTGTCCAGCTGCCAGCAAGTTGCTGCACAGAGTTACAACAACCTATGTACAGCACTTTCTCGTCTGAAAGCCAGGTTTTTTACTTTTACTTATTTATTTGATTGTTTGTGTCATTATTAGTAAAGTTAATCTACAGAATAAACTGTGTTTTTAGCATTTATTTCTCTAAATGAATATCCCTGCTGCTGTGTGCTTGTCTTTGTGTGATTTGTTGTAGTATTGTTAGCACTGAGTAGGCCAACATACACAGTACACACGTCAATAAATGCTGATATTGTTCAAGGACAAGGTTTTATGTTCCCTGGTCTCACCCAATGACTGTATAAAAGTCATTGGTCTCACCTCTAGCTACAAACCCTGCCCTATTCCCCTCGATCAACGTTCTTTGAATCATGATTTGATTTATTTGGTCTTGTTCGAGGCGTTCCGAACGAGGACGCGTACAGGAAGTAAACAAGCTGTTGGTAACGGTGAGCAGATCATTGACTGGAGCCACTTGTCGCCGACAAAGAAGGAGTGCTTTCTCACGATGTTGCGTTTGTTTTTGTCCAGGCAAAGTACTTTTTGTACCAAATGCAGCATGTTAGCAGCACGCGAGTCGCCTGTGACGACCCCGCGTGCAGGAGCGCGAGCCAGGCAGCAGCAGAAGTCAGATAGTATTTTTATTCAGCAACAAAGGCGATATGTGGGAGGACCAGCCTTTCGTAAATACCGGTTAAAGTCCACGATTTGGATGTATGGGGTTGGAGTGGGGATCGCTTTAGCTGTCGGGCTGAAATACAGCAGCGACGGTGCCAGCAGTTTCTGCGATGTTAAAGTTACGAGAGCAGAGAAGACGGATCGATACAAAGATGCTATAAAAGTTAGCAGAGACCTTGTGGAGCGGATAAAGGTAGGCACAGAGGTAGGCTTATAACTTGCTTTGTAATTGATTGACTAGTGTCCCTTTGCGCTGTCTTATTAACCCGAAGCCCACCTGTAGCAACTCGGTGTGTTTGTGTGTTGGCAGGATGAGGTCGGTGCTCCGGGAGTGGTAGTTGGCGTCTCTGTGGATGGGGCTGAGGTCTGGTGTGAAGGTTGGTGACCATGCATCGCACTATTTTCATCCCATCCCACAATTCCCACATGCACAGTGTCCCACATTTTTAGTGTAGGGAGTTTACAAAAGTTTTGCTCAAAGTGTGATTCAAAAACAGCTAATCCAACACAAACATGACGTGACCGCACAGAAAAACAGCTGAAATAACGACTGCTATTATAGAAAAGAAAATAACCTTCTCCCATACGATTCTGAGAACAAACTAGGGCTCATTTCGGTACCTCCGGTGTGTACACTTTTGCTTTAAAATATAAATTAAATAAATAAGGGAGCGCGCACACATCGGATGTTGATGAATGAAATGGTAAGTCTTAAAATATATCCTACCATACACTGTGTAATTTGTTGAGAACAAAATTGTGTAATAATGGTCAGTGGAAACCATTATTATTAACCCCTTGAGCGCTGGATTTTTTTACAGGGTTCTGAAAAACTAAATACAGCCTTACTGCTTCCATTTGAATTACATGGATAACTCACAGCTAGGTGGTGCTAGTCAAATGCAAATGCACACTCACTGATTATCAGCAAGTGTGAGTAGTGTGAGCCCTATAGGCTTCAGTTAGCATGTTAAATGTTAAAGTTCATGTCAGTATAATTAGAAAAAAATAAGCAAATATATCTTGTTTGGACAGGGTTTCAGGAGCCTCTTCTCTCTAAAAAAACAAACAAACAAAAACATGGCATGTGGAACTATGTCCTTTATACAGATCAGACCAACGTGGAGATGTTTGGCAAAAAACAAACAGCATATCAACACAAACGCCCCATACCAGCTATCAAGGCACAGGACTTAGGCACCTTGCAGGCACTGATTCAGCCATGAGCTCCTCTATATACCAAAGTCAAATGTGAGTCCATCTGTCTGACAGCTAAAGCTTGGGGCAAACTGAGTCATGTGATAGGACAATGATCCCAACCACAGCGGCAAATCTACAACAGAATGGCTGAACAAATCAGTCAAAGTCCATACCTGAGTATGACTAAAATGCTGTGGCAGGACCTTAGGAGAGTAGATAAATTAATCCCCACAAACATCAATGAACTGAAGCAAAGTTTTAATAAAGTGTGGGTCCGAATTCCTCCAGAATAATGTGACAGACCAACTAAAGGTGATACTACAAGCTACTGAATCATGGAGTGCACTTTAAATATGTAAAAATAGACACTGTTACAAATGTTTTAACAGTAATGTAACACTGGCTAAAGGTTAAAAAGGTTAACAGTTGTTGTACAAGAATGGCAGCAAGTCCTAAAATTTGTTATTGTTGCTATTGTCACTGTTGGCAGGCTCTGAGTGGCTCAAAACAGACATTTTAGGTCAAAGCATGTAGCTGCTTTTGACTCAACTGGAGGTAGCCCACTGGTATCTGCTTGTATTAGTATTTCTGCATATTTATCATAGATTGTATTTAAATTGTGCTTTGTTGCAGTGCTAAAAAAAGATACATTTAAAGGGTCTGTGTTCAGTTTCCTTACTGCAGAATGTTTTAAAATATATAATTTATTAGGTTAATGAGTCATCTGTAAACACCGGTATATTTCCCTAAAAATGCATTGCCATTCTTATGACTTTTTAAAACACTTTATCTAATTTAGGAATTGGTTATGCTGATTTGGAGAATCGTGTCCCATGCACGCCAGAAACGGTGATGAGAATCGCCAGCATCAGTAAGCCCCTCACCTCTGCAGCTGCTGCACGACTGTGCGAGGAGGGGAAACTAGATCTTGATGCCCCAGTCCAGAAATATGTCCCACAGTTTCCCCAAAAACAGTTTGATGGGCAAGACGTAAGCAATTTCAAATACTGCAAAAAAAAAAATGACATGCAGTATCTCGTTCTTCTAGCATTTTATCTATTTGTTTGGTTTGTATTGTTTTTAAGGTCACAATAACCTCACGTATGCTTCTGTCCCACCTGAGTGGCATTCGGCATTATGAGAAAGATGCAAAGAAAGTGAAGGAGGACAAAGAGAAAGCCAAGCGACTTTTAAAGCCCCCGGTTAAAGAAAAAGAGAATGAAAAGAGCTCATCTGAAAGCAAAGACAACAAAGCCGCAACAGATCAGAACACCAAGAAGAAAAAAGAGTTTGAGCACGAGGAGTACTACTTAAAGGACAACTTTGAAAGTGTCATTCAGTCTTTGGACCTTTTTAAGAATGACCCCCTCATTTTCAAACCTGGTAAAGCTCAAACTTTATTTCGTTGTTTCTCTGTATTCACAGTTACAATGCTAACATCTTGATGAGATGTATGTTTTACTCCATGCATGCAGGCACAACCTTTCTGTACTCCACTCATGCCTTCACGCTGCTTAGTGCTGTTGTGGAGCGGGCTGCTGGTCGGCGATTCCTGGACGTCATGATGGATATGTTCCGCGAGCTGGGAATGCTCAATACAGTGCCCGATGAGAATGACCCTATTATTTACAACCGCTCTAGGTAGTGTATAATCTCCAGTCTCAAGTTATGTCCAAATTGCCTTAAAAACATGATGCTCATGCTTGTTTGTTTGTTTTTTTGATGAGGTATAGCAGTGAGTTTGTACTACCTGTCTATGCGATTCCACAGGTTTTATCATCACAACAAGCGCGGACGTGTTGTGAATTGCCCGTACGTAGACAACTCCTACAAGTGGGCAGGAGGTGGTTTTCTTTCCACTGTGGGAAACCTGCTGCTCTTTGGAAATGCTCTGCTTTACAGCTACCAGGTGGCTCACTTGCAGGATACTAACGGCTTGCTTCCTGGATTTCTCAAACCCAAAACAGCGATAGAGCTTTGGGCACCAGTTGATGGGACTGAAGCCAGCTGGGATAAGGACGGACTGTATGCTCAAGGCTGGTTGGTAGTGGAGAAGGTGCAAAAATATGGCCAGTGCAGGAAGCGCAGACACTATGTATCACACACAGGAAGTGCTGTGGGCGCTAGCAGTGTCCTCCTGGTGTTACCCAGCGAAGAGATTGACCAGTGCCAAGGACAGACCCCGATCCTCCCACAGGGGGTGGTGGTCACCATCATTGCTAACATGCAGTCCGTGGGACTCAACAACACTGCACTGAAAATTGCGAAGGAGTTTGATAATGCCAGAAGGAAGTAGAACTGTTTACACAGGTGTGTGAGTTTACCTGCAAGAAAACTTTGTGATCTTGTGTCATTTTGATAGAGCTTTTCAATGTGTCTGAACTTTAAGGAAATAAAATTAGTCTTAAGTATCCATTTATATAAATGTTTTGAGTTTATTTACATTAAGCATTTTCTCAATTACAGCATTAAAGTAAGGAAGACATTCTGCCACTAGACGGAAGCAGTCCCCGCCTCCCCCCAAAACAGACTCTGATACAAGTTTCTTGGATTTATATAGAAGGCAGTTCAATTCTCTTTAAAACGTAACACGTCAATCCAGAACATTTTTTTTAAATAAATTACTACTTTTAAGCAAAAAACATTTCACTCACAATTTATTTAAATCAGCTTTGCGTATTTTCTTCCTTTTAGGGCTGTCTATATACAGATATTTCCTTAAAGAGGGGGGGGGACACTGACTACATATTTTTTGCTCTCTAATGGTTTCACTGTAGCATTTTTAAAATACCAATATCAACAGCCACAGTGTCAGTCCTGACCTAATGCTGGCAAGAATTCTAAAGTGAAACCATTCAGTCAGCATTTACAATGTTGTTTCTGCCCACACATTTTTTTTATTTATTTATTTATTTTTTTTAATTTGTTAACAAATACAAACTATGGGAAATGCAGTCCAACAAGTTTGGATTTCCTCCTCTGTGCAGCAAATTGAAGCCAATTTGGTGACACCATTCTCATAAAACTCCTGGGATCACCCGTGCCCCTGTTTTTGTTAGATTTAAGGACACCGATGAATAGCTTGGGATAAGCGAATTATACAGACCCCCTACACACATGCATGTGTGTTCATGCATGTGTCCAGAATTGTGGGATCCAGTTTTAAGTTTTAAAAACTGCAAAGTGCTGACATCTTTGTAAAGTGAGATCTCACTGACTGGTCCAGGACACCTCAATGAGCAATTATACTTTAAGAGATGTGATTAGATGTGAGATTAGGTTAAGAGTGGAGGTTTGGAATGAAGCATTGAAGAGGAAGAATTACTAGTGCGTTAACGTCTCACAAGTAAATAAGAGTGTGTAATGGCATGTCACCAGAAATCACACATTCAAATCATTTAAAAAAAATGATGGAATATATTTACAAATGCAAAATATTTTCTAATAACATACAGAAACTTAGTTTATAATCCCACAATTGCCACAAATTTTAAAAAGTCACACTTAAACTGCACTTTAATATGTTTTGACAAGGTGAAATGTGATTTAACATCAGAGCAATGGTGGTGTGACACTCGTCAATTTGCCCTTTAAGGTCAGTGCAGTAGTTTTTCACTCTCCTTTTTTTTCATTTTTTTTAGCTTTTTTCAAAGTCATTTTCAAAACCTCAGATAGCATGACAAGATAAATGACACTTCTCACAATTCGTTCCTGAAACCATCAAATGCACCACCAAATTAAATCAGAAGGAAGGATCATGCTCTTGATTGTACCTTCCAGTATTCTTGGTTGTGGTTCTGTTGTCTCTGTTCCTTCGCTTTTCGCATCCTGTGTGGTGGTAAGTAATGGTTATAAGCTTAGAAAGTATGTACAGTAATACAAAGACGTCCTGGTGCTACTTACAGATGCTTTGAGAGTGTTTACCTAAAACCACAATGTACTTACTTGCGTATGTAGTAGACAATAAATCCCAGCACTATCAAGATAAGGAGAGTAATGACAATCACAGCTGCAATTAAACCAGCCTCATCTGAAATGGGCTGTGTGACTCCGAGCTGGAACTGTTCACATCTGCTGCCTTTGTAGTTTGGGTTGCACCTGCAGGCAGATAGCGTTGCACAAATATTTGCAAATTCACAAACAACATTGCCAGGTTGGGTAGTGTCCATATTTTTTTACATTAAGATTTTTTTTTCTAAGACAATTAAAAACACTGATTGATTTCAATAAACTTACACACAAGAAAGTGTGTCCATGGAAGATATTTTATAACATGTCCCTCCATTCATGCAGTAGGTGGCATCCTCTGCACTGCAAGGGTTTCCATGATCTACAGAGATAAAAAGAAGGTAGGATAGCTATAACAGAGCTGGAAAGATGCTTTTTCTTAATATATAGAATTTGTTCGCTCCTCAGAGGGTTTTAGTTTTATGATTGTTGGTATTATTACCTGACATCATTGATAATGTTCTGTTTTTCCTGCTGTCTCACTAAGAACACAAGGAAGAATTTTGACAAAGAAAAGTACATGAGCACTCAACACGAGGAAAGCACGTTTTTAGGCAACATGTAAACAATTTCTGTGAATCTGACAGGAGTCATAGCGTTATTGATTATTACGTTAGAGAAATAGATCTCTAATATATCTGTTTGAATAAATCAACAATCTGCCCTTACCAGCTCATAAAATCCCAGCTTTTGGGTGGTTAGCGCAGCTCCTGAGTCTAAGTCATAATGACACCTGGATCTCAGAGAACGTAGTCTTGAGAGTGAGCTCCTCCCTAGGCCTAAAAAAATGTTGAGATTGCAGTTTGTCCGCATTGCAAGTTAAATGTCAGGATACAGGCTGGTAATGTTTTAACATGAAATGAACAGTATTGTTGTTTTTGTTGTTGTATAAGCAAATCAAAATGGTTTTTAGAGGTCTGCAGAGCTTCCTGGAGGTCATTATATGGCTTATATGACCTCTGTGAGTGTTAGAATCGAATGAAGACTGATTACATGACATATTGGTTTTGCTTTTGTAGGATAAGTTTCGTCAGAAAACAGGTGACGAAACCGACTTCTGTGAATGCGAGCTTGGTATGTCTGGGTTTGGTACAACTGAAACTGAATGGAGTGGCATGCAAAGAATGTGTGAATGTAATCGTGGGATGAGTTTATAGTCAACGGAAGTACTGCACTAATTCTTGCATAGAGATAATTACTACACTGCTTAGAACCGTTAGGTGACAATAAGCTGGCTATTTTTAATCTTTTATGATCATGTTTTTCTAAATTTATGTAACCCAGCATCATCCAGTGTGGCAACGGTAAACTGATTTAATTAGTTATCTGTTCAATTTGTGATTATTTAATGCCTCCTACACTTTTCATTTAGCTAATATACCGAGGCACTGTTTTTCAAAGGATGTACAGTTAAGAACTAATTAACAGTAGCCAATCACTCAATGAGGCTTTATAGATAAGTTTGATTTGTATATACGCTGCTTTGTTTGCTTTATTCTGCTCTTAAAACTTTAAATTTATCAAGAAATACTTTGTTTTATGACCTTTATGAAATCCCAAAAAGTTGATTCCGATCATCATCATCAGTGAAAGAAACATTTCATCACTCATCAGAGTGACTTCTTCCGTCTCAGCTGACTGCAAGTTTCCCCAATCTTATAAACAATACATTTGCAGAATGACTGAAACTAGAAGCACTGACAAACCTTTTGGGATTTCCTTACCTGGATGATTGAGCATGCATCAAGACCTTGATGAAAAAATACAAAAGGAGACGTTCACATTTTTCAAAGCTGTCTTAAAGCATTAGCTGATGCTCATTTATTGACCTACTTTGAAACAGGTTTGACTTGCTGTAATTATTTTGTTCTATTCATATAGGCCATTACAAAAAGGCCTTTCATAATGATCATCTAGTTGGCAGTTGGAGTAAATATCCAGTGGGAGTAACTGTCTTCTTGTAACTACATTTCTTATTTGTTTTTCTTTCTGCTGCAGATAAGGAGGAAAAGACTGTATGGAAATAAAAGGTTTTCAGAATAGAAAGGCTGACTTAGCAAGATATGCAGTTAAAATTATATTAACTTATCTCATGATAACCTAAATATATTTTTAATGATTTTTTTCAACTTTGTAATATGTTATATTTTTCTTTGTATTACATCCTTAAATTGATGCTTGATCCACTTCTAAGCTCATCCTGACTTGCATTAACCTGCAAAATTTCTTCTTATAGTTTTGATTTTATTGTACTTCAGTGACTACGAGGCATCCATGGACTGATCTAGCACAGAAGCCCCAGTGCTCCCTCCACCATGCTTCACAGCTGGATTGAAGTGTCCCTGCTCCAGTGCTCAAATGCCTTTGTTTCCTCAAACCTCGTCTACCTTTTTTTCCTCTTGCCAAAAAGTCCAGTGTTTGTCTCACCTCTTCACAGAACAGAAAATTAGGTAGACTGTGATATTTTTGTCAAGCTGTAATGATCTTGCTGTGTTCTGGGTGTTTCTTCACCTCTTTCAGGATTGCAGGATTGCTGAGCTCGATAACCCACCCTTCCAAGAAGTGTATGGAGAACAGGTACACACATACTTTTTATTCAGCCTGCGCTTTGAGTGTGTGTGTTTAATAAAGATAGGACAGTGCCATTGTTTATTAGTTTCATGGGTTGGTGTTTAGGTATCATTTTAATTTAAGTTTTAGAAATCTATTGGAAAGTGGTGGTAATTTTCTTTTAACTGTACCGGTACTTAAAAAAGTTGCAGTGTCATCATACATTTATAAGTGCAGGCTTGATAGCTTAGTGCACTAAAAGTGAAAAACCTCATGAGCATCTATTAAGGGATGACTTACTGTTTTTTATTTTCTGCAAAGGGATCTAAAGCCTTGGCAAATTGTTTAATACCGTTTATAAAAGCCATTAGTCACAACTTATGAACCCTTTATAAATGCTGCCTTATGTGACGTTCGGGGATCTAAGTCCTGTTAATGCATTTTAGGATGCAATTGAAATGTCGCAGAGAGCCTGCTGCTGGGTGTGCTGCAGACTGATAAACTGCATTAAAATCACCACCGAGGGTCACAGAAACACTTCACTGTGAGTATTAGTGATATGTTTTTTCTTTTTTTCGCGCGGGTGGGTTGTTATCGCGAGGAGCTCTGAAGCTCAAGAGGTGAAGTGAAGCGAGAGTGGGCTTTTTCCCTTTTTTTTTTCTTTCTTTTTTTTCTTTTTTTTTTTTACGTCGACGCTTCCAGGGTGGCATAGAAAGGAGGACTTTTGCGGGCTCTGATGGCTTAGTGGGTACACTGACTGCATACATGCTTTATATGACATCATTGCGAGGGTTTGGGGTAAATCTTAGGCTATCCGTTTCCCTCCCGGAGCACTGCTTGTCACACATCTGTAACCGCTGGAATCCTTTTTTTCAGCACCTGGACAGCTCCCGCTCGTGAACCTCTTATTATTATCGGGCACATGGAGTCCCTGATGTGATTCTGGGGGAAGCCCTGCAAGCACATCATGCCTCCCTGCGAAGATGTCGTTATCACCCTGATTCAGTGACAGCCTCGTCGTCTCCTTCTGAAGGATGGTGCTTACAGTCCGGAGTAGGTGTTTTTGTCGTGCGCTATCTTCTGAGAGGCGATACGGGTGCTTGGCCAACGCAAATCTAAGGCTAATCGCAACCTACACACAGCAAGATCCGAGCTTCCCTCACACTGATCATCATCATCATCATCATCCACGGCGAGGAGGGAGATATAACCATCATCACTGCGAGGGCAAAGGAGTCACGACCACACTTTACACAATGTAGAGCAAGACAACACAAGAGGTTAGTGTGTTTAATTCCCCCCACCCCCTGTTTCTCTTTTTCGAGGGGGTGTCTAATCTAAAGCGCACCGAGGAGTTGATGTGTCTCAGTTGGGTTGAGCATGAACATGAATGAGGCTCTATGGCCTCTAAGAACAGCGCGGAAAAAAAACAAAACAAAGCACGTTAACAGCTAACTGTTCGTGTAGCAATGACTTGGTGAAAAACGTTTGCAAGTGAATCTCGATTGCGCTAAATACAGAAAGCCTCAGACAGAAACGAGTCACAGGGAACTGAGAAGAGCCCAGGAAAATGTGCTGCATTTGTGGACCACCCCCCACCCACCGACCCTCGCTGATGAAGTACTTACTGAAGGCTGTACTTATAGTAATAAGGGTCAACTCAATTTGCTGATTGTGAAATTCGAGCTTTCTGATAGAGAGATATCCAGAAATATTTTTGGTATGTAGTGCATTATCTCCAAAAAGGACTGGCACATATCTTTCAGTAGACTTGCCTTTCCAGTCACCTCCACAGTTACTCCTCACTTTTGGCACAGTGTTAACCTTTTTGACTTTAGTCACCTCTCACTGGCCAGTTCTTTCTTTCTTCTTGCACGTTTAGGGGGGTGCTGCAACGAAACAGTATCACCCTCAGCCCTTGAATGACCTGGGCTGATTTATCCTGAGTAGCATTTAATCTGCTGTGCTTCACTACATTACTCTGCTGTGAATGCTGACTCCTCACCTCTGAATGTCCGGAGGCTTTTGCTATACCTTTGTATCTAAAACACTACCGCAAATTCATCAAATGCCTTCTAAATAATGAAGGCATGGCCAACACTATGCTATCATTGCCATTATTTTGCTTGTAATAGTCAAGATTTCATTCAATCTTAAATAAACGGGTGGCTGTGTTTTTGACTTTCCTCCCAGGTCATGATGTGTCCGTTTCAGTAACCGGAATGGGCTTTCACTAAACAGGCTTGGACATCAATGGTTCTCTATCCTGTGGCACAAAGAGCTAGCATCCTGGTGCACTTGCTATGCAAGAGGTGTGATGTTCCTCAGCCCCTGATTCACAGAGCGGAGCGTATATTGGAGGAGATTTAAAATCCATTACAGTTTATTGCTCCCCAGGAAAATAGTTGAACAGAGCATAGCTAAAGCTGGAGTTGGAGCAAGGCACCTTCAGGAAAAACATAAGCACCGATTTTTCATTGATAGCTCTGAATGCATTTGTGCTGCACGGCTACAATGTAGACGCCTCATAATTTTGAGAATTGCTGTTTATTGTTAACCTTGGGGCAATCTGCCCACAAGACCTATTAGTTGCTGCTCTGGAGCTCCCAATCATAAGCCACAATAAGTTTCAGAAGAGGGAACTTTCCTATTATTTACCTCTTTATGTGCTTTGTCTGTTTTTATCTTGTGTTTCCTGTATGTGTGGCAGGAGCCCAGTCTCTGCAGCGGTGAAATCATATTTCACACTTGGGGTTATTTAGCGTGGACGTCTATTTGCAGCAACAAGACCTCGACATGAGCAACACTCAGTAAGTATAACACCCTCCGGAGTCTTGTTTGAAACCATGTGTACGAGAGAGTGTGAAATCTTAAATCTCTATTTATGAATATGTTGTATTATGCGCAGTTAGTCTCAGTGTGGTGGGATATGATTAGCAGAATGGGACCTGCACATGCTCGTGTGCCTCCCGTGAGTGACTTTAAACAGGGGATCAGGGAGAAAGTAGCGCTTGTCCTCGTCCAAGTATTTCCGGGAGCGAGAGAATGGACTGCCATCTCTTAACATTCAGGAGGGATGTTCACTTGTCATCTTCTCTTATTAATAATTACTCTGTGTGTGGTCCTCAAGACAGGCCGAGCATTCTGACGACAGCCACAGCCG